CCTGCCTCCCCCTGCCCCCCTGCCTCCCCCTGCCCCCCTGCCCGCGCCGGGGTGGGCACAGGGGAGCCTCACCTGCAGTTTGGTGTAGGAAGCGTTGACCAGCCCGTTGCGGAGGATGGAGTGCCAGTTCTCAATGTGAGAGCCACTGGGAAGGACCAGCCCCACGTCAGCCCCACAGAGCCCCACAGCGCCCACCAGGGGGCTCCTGCTGCTGTTCCCCCCCTCCAGCAACTCACTGGAAAGCGAAGGTGCTGCCGTAGAGCTTCTTGGCGGTGCGGAAACGAGCCTCCTTGGCCGGGGGGCTGCTGAGCAGGAGGAACTGGTGCGAGGTGTGCATGAACTTCAGCTGCTACCAGGGGAAAGGGGCGAGCAGAGGCGGCGGGGGTGGGGGGAGAGGACAGACAGACGGACAGAGATCATGCACGGCAGCCTGGCCCTGGGCCCAGCCCTGCCAGGAGGGCCGGCAGCATCCCACAGCCCACAGCAAATATCCTGCACCCCATATCCCTTGTCCTGCCTCCTGCACCCCATCCCAGGACTGTGTCCTACAGCCCAGGCCCTTTTATTGCTCACCCATCATCCTGCATCCTATGTCCTGCATCACATACCCTACATCCCACCTTCCACATCCCTATCCCACATCCCACACCCAACATCCCAATCCCATACCCTTTATCCCACATCCCATACCCTGCTGCCCTGCATCCCATAACCTACATCTTGTATCTGCACCTGGTATCCCATACCCTAAATCCCACCTCCCATATCCCACATTCCAGACCCTCCATCCCACATGCAGCACCCTGCCTGGAGCCCAGCCAGGCCCCTTACCCTGCTGAGAGGCAGCTTGACAATGTGGGATCTGTTGCTGGAGATTATCCTTGGGAAGAGGAGAAGGAAAGGGAGAAGAAAGGTCACACAGGGTGGTCCCACACTCCTTGGGAGTGGGGTCAAGCTGGGAGCCACACCAGAACCTGCCCCGAAGCTGGTGGAGGGTCATGATCCCCCAAGAGACAAGGGGTAATGGGGTGGGGTGTGCTGGGGGTGCCCAGCTGTCCCCCACCTAGTTCTCTATCCCCGGGAATGTGAGGCAGTGGGCAAGGATGTGGGGCAGTTGGAGGGACATGGGCAATGTGGATGGATGTGGGGCATTGTGGAGGGATGTGGGGCAGCAGAACTGGGCTGCAGCACCCTGGGTCTTACCACTGCAGGAGGGGATGGGCCAGAGGGTCCAGCTTATCCATCTGCTTCTTGATCTCCAGGTAGGAGCCCTGGCAGAGGTGAGAAGGGGTGCAAGTAGGCATCAAAACTGCCCCCCCCGCAAAGGTTCCTGCACTGGGGGGTCTCACACGGGCCCACAGGTGGGGGGGGGCCAGGATGGTGTACCTGGGTCATCTCCCGGATGGACATCACGCTGTCCAGGGCCTTCTGCAACCGCTCATAGTTCTTCTTCTACACGTGGGGCAGGAGAGGGATCATTGCAGGGGTCTAGGGGTCCCTCAGCCCCACAGACCCCCAGCGTGGGTGAGTGTTGCCCCCTCTGGTGCTTACCTTGGGGTTGAAGGCAAGTGTTTTGGGGTCGTTGGGGTCCACCACAGAAGGGTAAGGCTCAAAGATGATGCTCTTGCGGGGGGACTCCAGAGCAGCACGGCACATGGCCACCAGCAGGTCCACCACCTTGGGACAGAGCACGGGTGAGGGGACAGGGCCCTGAGGTGACAGTGTGGGCACCCACCATGCACAGCCCTACCTCGGCACCTGTGGCCACCTCCTCCGCCGCACCGGACATGACGCCCAGGGTGTAGAAGGAGAAGACACAGAGCTCCCGGGTGCACACGGCCGGCTGCGGGGGGACAGGAGCCGTGAGGAGGGACAGGGATGGGGACACGGGGTGACAGCCTGTGCCTGCTCTGTCTCCCTCCCTGTCCCCACACCTTGAGCATGGAGCCGTTCTGGAAGACGTGCTGCTCGTCGCACACCACGCAGTACTCGTTGAGCGTCGGGATCCGCTGCTCCGCGTACTTCATGATCTGAGGGATGGGGGGAGTTAGGCCCTGCCATGGTGCCCGGGAGGGCATTGGGATGGGGCTGAGAGGGATGTGGGATGAGTGAGGAGGATGCTCCAGGCAATGGGATGGGGCTGAGAGGGTTGTAGGGCAGCAGGAAAGATGCTCCAGGCAGTGATTTGGGGCCAAGTGGGATGTGGGATGGATGGGGAGGATGCTTGGGGCAGCAGGATGGGTATGAGTGGGACCTGGGACAGAGGGGAGGATGATCTGGGAAGCTGGATGGGGCTGAGTGGGATGTGGGGCAGGGGTAGGATGCTCCAGGCAGCGGGATGTGGCCTCTCACCTGGACGAGAAAGCCGTACTCCAGCGTCGGGATGTTCTTGCAGTGGCCACCAACCTGCGCCAGGCCCGGAATGGAGCCAGCTGGGTTACCCCCTTCCCCCGGGGGGCCCCCAGCCCTGCATGGCCCCCATATCCCCCAACACCCCCTGGCTGCAGCGGGACCCCCACGTGCCCACACCCTCCTGGGGACCCAGCCACACTAGGGACATGGAGCCAAGAGGACCCTGCAGGACCCCCAGCCGGTGTCCCAACTTGCCCAGCACCACCCAAGGGTGCTGGGGACAAGGCACAGGGGACAAAAACCCACAGGGGCTCTCCCTGACCCCAGGGGGTCCCAGCACCCCACGACAAGCGATCCGACCCCGCAGCAGCCCCCCAGGAATTGGGGAAAGGAGAGGAAAGCAAACCCCGAGGCGGGGAGGCACCCACCAGGATGTTGAAGGGGGCGACACCTGCCTGGGTGCTGGGGGGGGGGAGGCCGCA